AGATGGCAGGAGGGAGGGGTTACTGTATTTGAGCAAAAATGGCCGCTCCCAGACTCAGTGATCGCCATGAAAAGGATTATATTTATTTTTTTAATGACAAATCACCGGAAACATAATAGTTTTCGCTATAAATAATGATGCATTGATTATTCCTGGCTGACCGGACTTTTCCTTTAAATCCTTTAGTGATTATTTTTCCCATTCTTTCTTCAGACTAGAGCTGAAACAATTTATCAGATTAATTGTGATGAATTGATTATTGAAATAATCATCAAATAATCTAGTAAATGATTAATCGTTAACCGGAGCATAGAGACTCTAAAACCTCTAAAAGTTCAAAAGCTTCTCAGCACTTCTACACCAGTGGTAAATAATTGATTTGTGTTGGAGACACACTAACCTGTCCGGACGTCGTCCTCCTGGGCCATGTCTCTCTTCCCAGCCAGACCCGCCTTGTCTCCTAGTGTCCTGTGTCCATCTATGCCGTCTGGACAGTGAGGAGTGACCACAGTCAAAGGGAATCAGACAAGCAGTCAAACCATAAACCGGGCATTTCAACCATCTGAATGCAGAGTTATTGCCTACGGTGGGATGGTAGAATATGCTAAATATTTTCTCTAGAACTGCTCCAAAGATTCTCTACAGCTACAGTGTTTTATAAAGCAGTTTAACCATAAACAGTCATTTCTAAACACCCAACTGTTTTAGAGGCATCATGCAGACACACGTACACACATACATGCTTTCTAAAGAAGAGTTCAAGGACATCATTCACAGTTGGATAACTCAGCAGTGCATTTGCTTTGTTAAAGCTTGCTTCAGGTTCAGAACTTGTACGGACCGCCTGCAGGGCTTGGCTCTTGGAATTGCAATGAAGCTGAAAACTGAAGGGACGTGAAATAAGATGACTGGGAACACAAACAGGAAGTCATGAAAAAGAGGAAAGCAAAGCGATCTTCTGGGCTGTAGCAGTGATCATGAACGGTGACTGAGAAACAGAGCTTTAAGTTAAAGTGGAAAGTTGAGGATTTTATCCTCATTTCATCAGCAGGACGTCCCTCTGATGTTTAAACTTAAAGTAGATTCATGAGTATTAAGTTGGTCGTTAGGTTTCCAGCTCTCTGTCCTGTACTGAGTGGTCACTACTCGACATTGAAGAGGAAACATTAAGTGGCTGTAATGCCGGTGCTCTTCATGGCCGCGTTCCAATTAGCTGAAGAACTAATTGACCTCTAATGGAAATTACCTTAAGTCTAAACCGTCTCCTCTCATCTTTATCGGCTCCTTTTACTCCTTTTCTGTCTCCCTTTTCACATTCTGTCCATCCGAACTATTTACATTCTGACTTTTCTTTTTAAAAAGAACATATTTGTCTTTTAAATTCGTAGGGAAGTCATATTTAAATTTCAAATCATTCTGGCTTAAACATGGATATAACGTACTCTTTAACAGAGCATATTGTCCCAAAAGTTAGAAAATTACTATTTTAATAAATTCTGTTTTAAAATCTGTGTTTTTTTTATTTTATTATTATTATCTTCTGCAGGAAAGTTAGTTATACGTCAGCCTTAACACCTAAATTCGGCCAATCGTATATCAACGGTCATCTGTCAATCAAATTTTTTCGGTCATACCATCTTGATTCATATGTTGCAGCTAATATACGCAGCGGTTAAAATAGGAAATAAGAATAATTTCCTTTCCCATTGAGTTCCGTCCCAGTGTTCACGGGGATGGACGTCTGTGTCTTCAGCAGGCGTAGAGCTAACAGAACTGGCAGCGTTGCGAGGCAAGGGCTCAAACATGTACGGCTGGAAGCCTTCTACACCAAACCAAGCTTCTGCCGCCCTGGCGTCCTCTTCCACAACATCTTCGTCCCCGCTTTCCTCCTCTAAATAAAAAGATGGATGACGGAGGAGACTCATCCACGACCTCCGACACTAAACTCTCCTCCTCTTGCATGTTTCCTCTGTCCATAGCGTTCCTTGACAGTGTCGTTTCTGAGTCACCAATTTAGTGCTACTTGGTCCCAATGGAATTTCCCACTGGGAACCTACTAGCACTAAGTTGTTAACTGGTTAGCATGATGCTTCCGACAAACTGGCCACAATCAAACTTGCTTGTGTAAATTCCACCACAACAATCCCGCCCCCTTGATAATCGACCAATCACATTCAGTTTATTTACCCGTGCACAGTGAAACTGGAAAACCAGCTCCACCCCGTCATTATGGAAGTCGTTGAGGTCGTTGAGGTCGTTGAGGCTTTCCAGTTTCAATCTGCATGTTTTCTAAGCCATTACAACACTTTGTTGGGCTACTCTATAAAAGCCTGGAACTCAACGCTAATCCAGATATTTTGAATTGAGAAAGCTTCCTGGATGGGAAGAGAAACGTCTTCCAACTAGGAAAACAAAGTCCAGTGGATTGTTTTTTTTTACTTTTTTGGAATAACTCTGACCTGGATGACTGAGAATCTCCACCAGCAACTCTGTTTCCATTGGATACACATGGAGCAGCTCTGGTAAGAGGGATTCAGACAGATAATAGAGAGAAACAATAAAGCACGCTGACTATGCCCTGGCTTTCTTACATGTTGCTCTCCATTCTTTACTTTCCTGATTTGTGTCGCATTGGTGGCATCATCAACGCTAACCCAGTGTGGTGTCAGCAGACACGCAGCAATGGGGGCAAAGAGGCCACCTAGCTGCCAGAGAGGCATTAGACCAGCTTCTTATGCCAATGGGAAGGGAGCCAGATGCTGATTGTTAGCAGGTTGAGCCATGTTTGAAAAACACGCATTAACCCGCTATTTTCAGTGGGAAAGAGACTTTAGACTGAGGGCGGTTAAACGTGACAAGGATCTGCCATTCGGACCTAAAGCTTTCCTCATTTAGGTGGCTGTAAAACGCTGATGGTCCAGTAAAGGTTTTACTCGCCCCTGTTGGAGCATCCAGCGATCGATCAAAGCAGAAAGTGAAGGTCCACAGCCAGAAAGGATGTAGGAGTGATCGAAAGTCGCAGCCTCTGCAGCATCCTGACTCCAACTAACAGAGCAACTTTGGGATCAGTTTTACTGGATACCTGAAACCAGTTAGATCCAACATTAGCGTCTGATCTCAGAAATACCCGGTTTTATTCAAGATAAGGGAAGAACAGTGGACTGGATCTTACATCCTGCACTCTTTCCACAAGCTCAGATTAGTCCTTGGTTTGGAGGATCATTTATTTTATGTATCATGAAGGAATTATAAAATACTTTTTGACTCAATTTGTTGTTTTTTGAGGCTTTTGAAAATATGCCAAAGTATAAAAAGTTATGGTTTGATGGTCAGATTAATGTTAATCCCACATAAACCCAAAAATTGTAAGCCATAAATAAATGCAGAAGATATGCTGTCAGAGATTTTATGGCCAAGTATTTCCAGTCGTGCGGGTTTTCACTACAATGTATTTTTATAAATACATTATTTGTTCTTGAATTGAGGAGGTAAATGAGACACTTTGCCAACGGAACAAGACAATTTACCTGCACAATTTATCTAAATTTATCTAATCTTATTACAAAAACTCATTCCATTGGCAGATCATCTTATTTACCTGCTTAGATTAAGGATAAATACACTTAATTTAAAGCTATAGAGGATGATCTTTTATTTCCGGGGGGATCATCTCAATCAGTGGTCCTCCTAACTGTCAATCATTCTGGTGATGTGTTTACGTAAGACTGTCCTACGAGCTCGTCCCGTTAGCTATCTTTTTCTTTCAGGTGTATATTTGTGGTGAGCTACCGTTTCAGACAGATGCGGTTCTTTGAAAATGGCCGATGGTCGGAAGAGGAAAAGTGTCTACGTAGTGGATGAGAAGAAAAGAAAGGCTTCAAAAGAGGCAGATATGTCCCAGAATGCTTTGCGAGGAGAGCTCTCCTCGCAAAGCATTCTGGGATTTGCTGTCACAGCTTCCCGCTGTCGCCTTAGGCTGTCGCTACCTGACAGCGGCTACAAATAACAAAGATGGAGCAGGCAGCATGTTGTGGAGGAGGAGTTACGTGACCAACGGAGCAAAAAGCAGTGATAGTCTGTCTGAACGGTCAGTTGACTGAGTTCACTATAAAGTTCACTATATAGTCCCTGAGAACAGCTACTTTTAAACAGAGCGTGCATGAGGAGAAATGGGCTCGCTCATGGAGAGGGCGGATTTTCAAAAAAGATCCTCCACAATACCTTTAAGACAATTTTATTTATTTCTAGATTGTTTTCCAGTGTTCGCTCTCAGCTGAACACTTTTCAGGCCAGGTGAAGGTCAGGAGGAAGAGGTCTTCCTCAGTTTGGTACTCAAACAGCCTGATGGATAAAAACTTTTGGGTTTTTCCGTATCAGTGGGAATGTTCTGTGTGCTTTTATTCAGATTCACATTTCACTGTTGCTTCCAACATGGTCGATCTACTTACTATTTTATTCCTCTTCTTCAAACACAACGTGGGATTAGTATGTAGAATAATGCGCTACAAAGACCGTCTAGATATAAGTAAAAAAAATCTTAAATTAGGTGTGTTTACCCTTAATCTGAGCAGGTAAATGATTAAAAATAATTTTACTATTTAAATAAGATAATTAGATAATATGCACTTTAATTAAGACAATACAATTGTTTTTTTTTTATTTTAAATGTAAATTGTCCTGTTCCATTGGGAAAGTGTCTCACTTACCTCCTAAATTCAAGTAAAAATGCACTTATTTTAAGAGAAAATACAAATTTAGATTTTTACATTTTTTGGCAGTGTGGTTACTAGTGTAGTGCAAAAAAAGAAATCTAAATAAGTAATTTTTTTCTTTAAATAATTGCATTATTTCTTGAATTGAGGAGGTAAGTGAGACACTTTCCCAATGGAACAAGACAATTTAATTTTAAAATAACACAAAACAATTGTATTGTCTTATTTCAAGTGCATATTATCACTGAAAAAATTATCTTAAATTGAGTAAAAATGTCTTAAATTAAGGGTATTTACCCTTAATATGAGCAGGTAAATAAGATGATTTACCAATGGAATAAGTATTTTTACTCTTAAAATAAGGTATCTAGATAAAACGCACTTGAAATAAGACAATGCAATTGTTTTTTCTTATTTTAAGTGTAAATTGTCTTGTTCCTTTGGCAAAATGTCTCACTTAAATCCTTAATTCAAGAAAAACATGCACTTATTTTAAGAAAAAATTACTTATTTAGATTTCATTTTTTTGCAGTGATTGAATTATTTTATTTTAGGAGGATATATACTTTTTTCCATTGGCAAATCATATTATTTGCCTGCTCAAATTGAGGATAAATACACTTAAATTAAGACATGTTTACCTGTTTCTAGATCGTTTTTGCAGTGTGAAATCTGAGCTGCTGTCCTTCCACACATGACGTACCTATTATTTATATAATCGTTGATAGAACTCTGCTAACATCTGATTTGCCTTTTAGAAGCAATGATCTAAGATTATTGATCAGTGGAGAATTCATTTCCTGCACCAGATTGGAAGCACACAGAGATCAGGATGAAGAAGCAGAGTGAAGAGTGTGAGGAAGAGGAGGAGGAGGATGTGTCATCTGATGGAGAAACAGAAGCAGCTTAAAAGAAAATATGGTGAGAAAGAGCAATTCCTGGTCTGACCCCAAGGCCCTGCAGCGGCCGTATGTTTCTATCTTACATTGATTGACCAGCTCGTCTCTGCCTCTGGCACTGGGGGAATCCTTTATCTGAATTAGGTGATCAATACGACCTGAAACACAGGATGAGGCAGGAGCAACCTTTACCTGGGCTCCACACACTCGCTCTGACACACACTCACACGCCGCTGAGGGTCCAGCCGCTCTGTTCTCAACTAACCGGACCTCCCTTAGAACACACACACACACACACATCTGGACCCCCACGGTTCCCGTTATGTGTCCCCTGATAATGAAGTCTTCCTCACATTAGGCTACATTAGCTGCTACCCAGAGGAGACGACGGAGACGGACAAAGAAACACAATGATGGGAGCTAGATTACATGAGGATGATTTTCAGGCAGAACAAAGAACTGCAGATGTGTTTGTGCTTTTACTTACGGGGACCTAACAGGTAGCCGGCGCTGTTCAGAGTCCAGCCGCGCTTCTCCTTCGCCTGAGGTTAGAAAGACACAGCAGGACTAATTTCATTCCTTCCTCCCAATAAAAGAGGATTCTGCCTGAAGCTCATCTGAACCTCAGATATAAGAAACAAAGGATTTTATTCCCCCTCTGCAAACCAACATTATGGATCATCACAGCAAATTAAATTGACCAGAACACACTGCAAAAACAATACATAAATAAGTAAAAATGTCTTAAATCCAACAGATTGAGGATTTTTAAACGTAAAATAAGATAATTAGATAATAATCAATCAAAATAAGACAATACATTTGTTTTGTTTTTTTCTTATTTTAAATGTAAATTATCTTGTTCCTTTGCCAAAATGTCTCTTTTACCTCCTCTATCCCAGAACAAATGCACTTATTTTAATACCGGTAATTTAAATAAGAAAAAATTACTTATCTAGATT